AGCTGCTTTGGTGCTCCTCAGGCTCACAGCCCATGCAGGCCACGCTGCTGCAGGATGGGGAATTTTTGGTAGTTGGACGAAAGGCCCCTGAAGTGCAGAGCTGGGATGGTGAGGCACGGAGGCAAGGTCGTCCCTGGGTGCTGGCAGTTGCTGGTGGTGACAGTTGGGAGGCTATTTCAGGAGTGCTTTTCTCTTTGTTTTCTGTGAGCAGCTCTCTCCGTGTTCCCAGATTTAACCCTGACGCTGCTCAGCTGTCATCGAGCTCGCCTTCCTTCAGGGGCTGCTGCCTGTTTGTGATATATGTTGATATCCTATATTTACTCTTCCTTTGCGTTCAGGGGAAGATCGGCTCCCTCCAGCTCCAGGCTGGCCTTGTCCCATGTGTTTTAGACTTATACCAGGAGAATATAACACAAGTCCTGTCATTTAATCTCTTTGATTGTGACCTGTGTGTCGTCACAGCAGGACACAGCAGCCTGCTGTTCCTCCCAGTCTGGTGTGTTAGCAGGCAATGGCTGCTGCCCTCGGTGTGTTCCTCTGGTTTGTAGTGATTCTGACCGTTTTCAAAGCTGCTCAGTGGCAGCAGTGCTGGGATGTGGGCTGTCCACTGCCTCTATCTGCTTACTGAAGGCTGGTTTACAGTTTGAAATATGGGTGAAGTAAATCCTGTGCATGGGGAGATGTGGGAACATATGGCTGGGGCAGGTGGGGCCGGCAGTCTGCATTTAAACCTCCTTAAGCTGCTGTGGAGTGGGCTCAGATGGAGTTGGGAGAACATTTGGCCTTGAGATTCGTGCTTCTCATTGCCTGTGTTTGCTGCAAGAGCACTCGAGCTCTTTGTTTAGCTGGCAGAAAACCTTTAGATGGGCTTTGCTGTGATGTGGCTCTGTCTGATATTGTCACAGGTAATCCTGCTGGTAACGCTAGGAAGAAGTCTGAACAAAACCCACTTTTGTTGTCCCATATCTAATGCAGAATCTTTCACAGCTCGGTGGTGGTGCAGCCTCTGCCATCCAAATGAGCCCAGGTTGAGTTTCCAGCATAGAAACATAATTCAGAAGAAGGCCAGAGGTGTGGGCAAACAAAACGAGCATCTAAACCTCCAAGATGTCAGTGCTGGAGGGGAATGGCTGCAGACACAGTGTGAACATGTGCATGTTTGCCTGTGCTGGTCTGACAGCCTGAATGCTCGGTGTGATGGCAGCGTGTCTGACCAGGCAGCTTGCACACTGTATTTACTGTGACAAGTGGCATTACCAAGCATGACTTCTATGCAGGAACCATGAGGAGTGTTACCTGAGAAGGTGACACTGTGGGATTATTAGATTTTCACTCTTCCATGCAGCAGGGGTTACCAGGATAGAGCTGTGTCACAGGACTGATGTCTTCATAGCAGAGGCACGCGGCACAGAAGCTGAGTCCCTTCTTTTCCCTTTCTCCATCATACCTCCGCCTCAAGGAAATGCAGAAGTTCTCACTTAAATCCTGAACAACGGAGGACGGAGCACCAGAGAATTAAATACAGCCCAAATTAAAATCACAGGAATTATTACAGGTTTCCTGGCTGACTTTGATTCCGAGCTCTTGATTACTGGCTGCTATTCTATTACATGATTTTATGACAGTGGGTGATGGACTGTTTGTAAGCTAAATATTTACTCAGTGGGGCAGCATTTAGAAATGCAGCATGCTCTCAGCCAGTTCTGTGCTTGTTAAGTGCACTGGTGGACACAGTGCTGCCAGCCCATGCAGGTAACAGCTGCTGAGGTGCTCAAACTGAGCACTGATGAGAGCTGTTCTGCTTGAAAACCACAGCACTGAGTTGTGTTAATGTACCAGCATGGGCCAAATGCGATGCCCTCAGCTGTCCCTCGTGCCCCCCAGACCCCTGCCCACCTTGGCAGCCCTCCTTTAGGTGCTCTCTTTTTGTCTTCCTTACAGCATGGCACCCAAACCCGCACACAGGGCTGGAGCTGAGGCTTCCCCAGCGTGGAGCAGGGCAGCCTGTGCTCAATTTGGTGCATGCCCAGAAAGTGAGCAGGGCTGTGCTGTTTCCAGGCAGTGACACGTGTGAGCTGGGCTGCTCCTGCTGTGACCACCTGGGTCTCAGCCCACCCAGCTCCTTTTGCTCCTGGCGTTCCATCTCCCCTGCAGGCATGCCCAGGAGATAGGCAGGCCCAGCCTTGGCAGCTGCTGCATTGCTGATAGCAATCACAAGTCAGACGAGAGCTTGTGTGCTCTGCGTGCTCCGAGGAAGGAGCAAAAGCTAACAGTGTTATAATAATGAGGTTTCATTCAAGATAACGATCAGATTGTGTCTGGCTGTTGGATGAGCCTTGCCAGGCAGGCGGAGCTTTGCAGAGCTGTTCTGTGACGTTTCCTGGTGGCCCTTTTCATTACTGTGATGTAAACTTCATGCTTTAAAGAAGAATGTGTCGGTGGTGGCAAAAAGCCATCGGTGGGTGCTGCTGTCCGTGAAGGGCTACAGCTGTTATGGGGGGGGAAGGCAGTGTCAGATCAGCAGATTTTAGAAGCTGAGCACTTCCTCCCTATGGAAAAACTGCTCAGTGCTGATGCTGTGCCAGGGCAGAAGGGATGTGTGAGTGGGGAGGGCAGCCTGCCCACCGCTGGGCTTTGGGCTCCATCCGCCAGCACTGAGCAGCTCGTGGCTGATCCTGGGCTCTGGGTGCAGTTTGCACCAAAGTGTGCTAAAGCTGGAATAGGTGAGGGCTGTGCCAGAAGGGATTGGGTCTAATCCACTGCCAAGGAAGGTGCTGCAATGGCTGGGGATCAGCCGGGTTGGGGTCTCTGGGTAGAGGGAGGGATAGCCCTGTGCATTCCTACCCTTATCATCTCCTGGAAGGTTGTGCTGGATCTCTCACAGGTAGAGGACGAGAAGGTCAAGTAGAATTAAAAATGTAAAGGGACAAAACTGCTGTGGTTAACCTTGCTCTTAGCCTCTCTTAGTGTGCCAGCAGCTCTTTGTGCACACGTCACAAAGCTGCTCAGGGTTAGCAGTGCCCAAAATCGAAAGAAAAGAGCCTGTCTGGCCATTTTTTTCTCTCTGTAAAGCAAATTCTAGCAGCAAAATGGGAGAAGAGAGTTCCTCACATCAAACAGCTCCCTGCTGAGAAGGCAGCGCTCCTCTTTCCTCACTTTTGGGCTGGGAGGCAGGTGTGTGCTTTGTGCTATTGCTGGCTGGTGTGAGTTATTCCTACCACATCCCGAGGAACGCAGCAGCAAATAAAAGAGGAGAACTGTGCATAGCGGTGGCTCCTCTCAGGTTTCTGAACTTACCACTCTCCTAAATTTAAGGCTGGGGGATTAATAGTACTTAAGGCAGGGTGCATCGGCCGCTTCACTTCCTCTCCGACCTCTTCTCCTTCCTCTGTAACCTCAGGAAACCTGCTTTGCTGAAGCAGAACTTTGCCCTCCGGCTCTCGGGGTGGTGTTTGCTGGGAGCTCAGGCTCCCTGTGCTGCATGGGCAGATGTGAGCTCTGAGATCCGAGGCTGGAGATTCCTCTTCCTTATGGCCTGGTTTGAGGAGCTGTGACTGCATGTGCAAATATGGGATCTGTGCAAACGTGTCAGTGTTACTTGGTTGATCCTTAGCACGATGCATAGGAGTACATTGCAGCCCCTGGCAGCTGCTGTTCCCTCTGTCCTACCTTGATGATTTATCCCATTATCCCTCCTAGTCCCATAGGAACTGTGCAGGAAAGGCACCAGCAGCAGAGCATGGCCAACAGCAAGTGTAAATTAAAAACACGCATATTTTATTTTGTGTCTAAAGAGACTTTTTAAAGTAATTTTTCTTTTAGTCCAACGCATTGTGGCTTGAAGAAGCAAATGTACTGGGTGGCAGCTGCTTGGGTGGCTTTAATGATAAAGAATGTAAATAGAACTGTCTGTCTGCCCAATAAACATGGAGCTCACAGGAGGAAGGAGTCCTTGAGGCTGGACTCGGTCATGCACCCAGTGCAGGCAGTCCTGCTGTGCTGTGCTCCTCCCTGGGCAGATCGGCAGAGCACCAAGCATTGGCCTCCCTGCTTCTTAGAGCTGCAGCAATAAAGTTCTTTGTTGTTCTTCGGTGGGCAGAAAGAGAGCTGGGTTCTGCCTGCAGCTGAACACATGAAACTCCTTTTGCCCCCCAGCCATGCTTGGTGCTCCTTAGCTGAGGCACGTGTGCTTGGACACGTGTTAAGCTGCCAGCTCATCCCTAAATAGCAGCCTCCTTAAATGCAGCACGGAGCATTGCTGTAGCCAGGAATCTGAGGAAGGAGGAATTCCACCTTACAGAACTGCTGAGACCTGAAAATCCAGCTGGGTTTTCGTCTGGCAACTTCAAAGCTAGCAGGTCTCTGTGCGTTCAGGCTCTGCAGTTAATAGAGCAGCTCATAAAGGGTTGTCATTCCCTTCAGGAGAATAAGCACTGCTGGATGAAGTTGTACTTAATATGTGCCATTTTGTGTTCTGATTTTTTTTTTTTAATGCAGTCATGTCTATAAAATTGTGCTGTTGCTGTAATTGTATCAGCAAAGAGCTCCATCCAGCATGCAGGTGCTCTGCTTGAAGCTGTGCTTCCTCTGCTCGTCCCATCAGCAGTGAGATCTGCTCTCATCACTTGCTCTGCTGTCGGGGGATGGCATTACCTCAATAGACACACAGCTTGCCCTGCTTCAAGGAATCCAGTGCCAGAGCTGAAACCAGCAATGGGGAGCGCGGCGTGGAGCTGTGCCAGGTTGATGTTGGGTAGAGGAGGGAAATGTGCGTTGGTGTGAAGCACAGAGCTTGAGTGAATTTTGAGGCTGTCCACCCAGAGACTCATTGAGTTTCTGTTCATTTCTGGAAGTTCTGAAATTAATGTAGTGCTGCCTTATGTTTCCAAGTGTGAGATCAGGAGCTGCCTGCTGCCAGTAAGCCGCCGATGGGAGGTGTTCATTTGATTTAACATCGTTGCATTTCTTTCTTTTCTCCAATTCTTCCCTCTCTCCCCCAGGCCTGTATAGATGAGAACCTGGACATGGTGAAGTTCCTTGTGGAAAATGGAGCCAATGTGAACCAGCAAGATAACGAGGGCTGGACCCCCCTGCACGCCGTGGCATCGTGTGGCTACCTGAACATTGCAGAGTGAGTGAGTTTCAGGCTGTTTGGGTATCAGTAACACTTTGCACATCCTCCTCTTTGAGTGGGTGCAGCCATGGTTGATGCTCTGAAGCTCACACAGTGCTTGGAAGCAACGTTAAAAAAAGAAGATGCCTTCCTTCTTCTACTGAATGCAAGATGTCTTACTGTTAGGGTGGAACCTGTAGCTGGTTGTCCTTTACTGATCCCATTAGAGTGGTTTGTGATTTGTTGGGTACTTTGCTAAAACCCCGAGCAGAGGGGAAACGTGAGGGCTGGCAGGAGCTGATGAGCACAGAGGAGCAGCAGAGCATGGAGAGTTCTGCCCTGATGTTTAGGGCAAAGCAGTGCTGCCAGTGACTGCAGCTGATCCACACTTCATGATGCTCACAGAGGGCAAGATAGTTGTGTTTGTCCCGGAGGAGGTAATGGTACTGCTTGTGCACCAACAGATTGTTCTGGGATTTGCCCAGATATGGGACCTATGGAATAACTGGAGCCAAAGAACTGGCAAACATAAGGGGGAGAAGGAGGCGTTCATTGTTTTTTGAATGAAATAAGTGAAAAAACTGGGGATAGCTTGGATTAAAGGCATCATCTCTCAGGTGAGTGCAAGAACTGGGGATGCTGAAGTAGCTACAGAGAAGCAGAAGTTATTTGCAAGAGCCACTGAGCAGGAACCTTGCACTTAGCAGTGAGCTTTTATAGAGCAGAGATTTGATAAGAATGTGAATGCTTGTTTGGTAAGTGAACTTGATTGAGGAGATTGTATGCTTTGTTCTGCCACTTGATTTCCTGTGTTAGTTGCTCTGAAGCCTTCATGTGAGGTCTGACGTTGGCATGGCTCTCATTGGTGTAGGTACTTAATTAGTCATGGAGCCAACGTGGCTGCTGTGAACAGCGAAGGCGAGGTCCCGTCTGACATTGCAGAGGAGGCAGCCATGAAGGACCTGCTTCTGGAACAAGTAAAGAAACAAGGTAAATCAGCAGTGGGATTGCGTGCATGAGGGGCAGAGAAGGGTTTCTCTGTGGGCTGCTTTTCTGTGGACAAGGAGATGTGAAGTAGCAGAGAGATTTCTGCTCAGAACACTGGAACGAATGCAGAAGATTTGTGTTGTGCATTCTCTGTCCTTTTTAGTAGGATCCTTGAAAGGGAGACGCTGCGGTCCTGAAAGCTGATTCTTTAGATCCAGTTGTTTTAAAAGTGAGATTTAATTCTGGTCTGGTTTCACTAAGGCTTGGTGGTGCAGAATTGAGATTTGCAGCCCTGCTGAGCGTTGGGGCCTGGAGTGCTGCGTGTGTCCTAGAGTGACCTGCTTTATCCTGATCCTTCCCAAGACTTCTGCAGCCCATCTGCTCTGCTATTTCCCCTTTCCTCGTCAGGTGTGTCTGTGTGAGTTGTCCCTGCAAAGCTGTCACTGGTGGAAGTGATTTGGGCAGTGTCTTAATTAAGGGATCCTGTGCCAGTGTAAGATTTTCTCTATACTCACCAAATTCATCTGCAAGTGGTTTGGTGTCTGTATGTATGTGTAAGAGTTTTAAGTCCTGCCTATGAAGTTCATCAGCGATGTTCTTGAAGGATGCAAACTGCTTCTCTGTAAAGCAGGTGATGAAAGCCGTGCACTGCAGTAACGTATTTGAGGGGGCATCAAGGCAGTAATTCCAGCTCTGCTGCTGATATTTTGCCTGATGCTTGTTAGGTTTTCGTTTGGCTTTTTCATTGCTTTGCCACGTTAGTAGCATCCTGCTAAGATGCCCGAAAGCAACCATCTGGCTCTGCTGAGAAGCTTCCCATTGACACAGTTTAAAGAGTTGATAATTGCTGAAATAAACGTGTTAGAAACTTCAGATAAGCATCCCTCCAGCTTTGCTTCAGCTGTAGCTGAAAGCAGATGCTTGGAGCAAGCACAAGAGCAGGACAAGTGTGCATGACTTCCCTCCCAAGTATTTTCCCAGCCTGCAGCCTCTGTGCCTCGAGGCGTTCCTGAGCCAGATGGACTTTCTGTGTATTTTCTATGTGAATCTGCCATGGATTTCTGTTTTGTGGACTTATGAGGTCTCTTTTGGTCTCTGAGCTTGTGGAGCATTGCGTTTAACATCTCCAGATGTGCTGCTACTGTTGTGCAAATCTGTAATTCTTGTTTTGAAGCTGTTTGCAATGTTAATATTTGCAACATCTCGCAGTGTTTCTCAGCTCGCAGACTGAGTTGATAAGTGTTGTCTTTTGTTCTACTGTAGTCTCATGCCCTACAATTTCCTTGGTAATCATGTTGTTATAGCGAAAGAACTGATCTGTAGGGCCTGCTGCTTTTCAATATTGATCTTGATTTGTTTTAATTTGACCTTTTATTTCCACCTCCTATCATCGAAATGATTTAGGACTGTTTCACCAGCATCTGTGGTTTGGAGGAGCTGATCAAATATGTCCCTCAGAATGCATGCCAGGAACGGCCCTGGTGCACTCTCTGCATGCAGCTTGCTCACTTACTGAATTTCCCATGAGAGCAGTGCTGGGGTTGTGCTGTTCTTACAGAGGATGCCTTAGAATCATTTCTGCACGTCCTACACAACTCATTTTTGTTAATTGTTGTTCACGAATTGGTTCTGTTAGGCTGGAATAAAGCATATTGGCAGTACAGCCCCTCCGCCCGTGACTGATTCAGTTAAGCCAGCAGTTGACCAGCAGAGTTTGTTTTCAGTCAGGCTGCTTTGAAGTTTCTGTTGACGATGCTGGAGATCTCCCAGCTGCTAGAAGCAGCTTCTGCTGATATTTTTGGGAGATGACAAAAGCTGGTGTTGTGTAGCAAATGAAAAATAGGGTAAGTTTACAAAGTGCACGAGAGCTTTCACCTGATGATCTCTTCTGTGCATTGCTGTCTTAGGTGTAGACCTGGACCTGGCAAGGAAAGAAGAGGAGCAGCAGATGCTGCAGGATGCCCGGCAGTGGCTGAACAGCGGGAGAATTGAAGATGTAAAGCAGCCTCAGACGGGTGCCACAGCTCTTCACGTGGCTTCAGCAAAGGGCTATTCTGAAGTCATGAGGTAGGAACTCCTTCCTGTGGCTGCTTGATGAATTGAGCCTGGATTTCCCGAGCATAGATTTGTAGTTGATATGTTTCATACCAACATCTTTGGGCTGCTGTGTAAGTGCTCAGTAGAATTATGTGCCCAGCAGTGGTCATTCACCTAGAAATGCATAGAGGCTGGAAGATTGCCTTTCATACCTCCAGGTCTTTGGAGAAATGAAAGCTTTTCTGAGAGCAGGGTGCAAATTAGAAGGTCAGGTTTCACTTAGACTACAAGTTTTAGGGCTAACAAGCCAGGCATATCAGGATGAAAGTATAATTTCAGCCTATGGGGGGACAGTGCATCCTGCATGGCAGTCACAAAAACACCCTGACAGCTGACATGCCCAGAAGGTCAGAGCAGTAGTAAAATGCAGTGTCCACCTCTGCCTCTGTGTCCCAGCACCCAATGCCACTGCTCTTGTAGCCATCAGCAGAGACAGAGGTCCCACCATGACACAGTGCTGCTTCTACTGCTTCATCATGGACAGAAGGTTGATCAGTGCAGTGCTTCCTGGCAATGAAGCGTTAATATTTTTACAGGTAGAGTCAAGCCAGGATGTCCCAGCAGTAAAGCTTCCTAAATGAGGGATGGATGGAACTAATGATATGCAGGTTGAAATGCTTTCTGGAAACATTCATCCACCTTGATTCCTTATTTCATAGTCCTGAGTGACGTGACTTGATGTGTAAGAGCAGCTTCTTATCAAGCTCAAGTAGTTTTGTTAATCTCTCTGTTTCCTCTTAACATTCATTCGTTAGAGCTTATAATAGAGTTACAAGCTGTCTGTGTCTCTGCTGTGCCCAAGAATGCTAATTCAACGTGGATCATATGGAATAGAAATCTGAGATCCCTCTGGACAATGTGGGGTTTGGTCCCACGGGTTTTTACTGGGAGGTTTTCTCTCCAGTCAATGGAAGCTGTGTTCCCCATTTGCCAGATGTCCACTTCTGCTCAGCTACTCGTTGCCATTAAATGCTGTAGTGATAAACAGATCTCACAGAGAGCTGACACTGTTCCACTCTTGTGTGTTTTACGGCCACCCTGTAAGTTCAAATACGAAGCTTCAGTGCCTTAAACCAAAGGGGCTGAAAGCCAGCAGCTGGCTAACTCAAATGAGATGTGGAATTTCTCTGTGACCTTGAGTATCTTAATAACCATGTTCCTCCCTTTTGCCAGCTGGAGAATGAACGTGAAGTCAGCATCCGATTTAAAACTTCTTTTGCAGGGAAGCCCGCTGCTGCTGTAGCACCACTGTGTTTTATTTAGCCCTGAAACACATCGTGTGAAGTTGCAGGAGTTTCAAAGCTGTGCTGTTCTGGGCTCGTGCTGGATTTCCCCTGAGCTGAAGGAAAGGGGAAACACCACGGAAATTTCCAGTGGCAGTTTTAGTGGAGCTGCAGAATTCCCTTGGGATGTCCTTCAGTATTTGAGCAGCTGGACAACAGTCAGTTCTGATACGTGAGCTGCTCGCTGCTTTCACCTGATCACTGTTGTGCCTCTGACATTTCAGACAATTGTCTCTGTTCTGTTTGTTTTGGTTTTAAATATTCAAGCCCCAGATGCATTGCAGCATGGTGCTTTGGTCTGCTGGAAGGGGCAGCAGGTGGGAGGTGTTCAGCAGTGGAGGGGACGAAAGGAGGTTTGCAGGCAGTCGTCTTGGGGACGATGTGCTGTAGCTGTGCAAGCTCTGATCTGCACAAACACTTATTGGAAGTCATCCATTATTTAACCTACAAGTTGAACAGCTGGTGATCGCAGTCCGCAATGTCTCTGCCTGTTGCCTGGCAGTTCTGCCAGCGCTGTCTCCTTGCTGTACGTGGCCCTGTTTTCCAGTAGAACCACCACCAAACTCGAATTACCAAGTGTCCTTTCCATGCCAGGTGCTGTGCTTGACTCACCTCTTACAGAGATTACGTTCTGGAGAGAATACAGAAGTCGTTCTTGAGTGGGCAGGAATCAGTGTTGCTTCTCTTCTCAGGCTCTTGATCCAGGCTGGGTTTAATTTGAACGTCCAGGACAACGATGGCTGGACTCCACTGCACGCTGCTGCACACTGGGGGGTGAAGGAGGCCTGCTCCATCTTGGCTGAGGCACTGTGTGACATGGATGTCAGGAACAAGCTGGTCAGTAAGCACTGCAGGCACAACATGCAGCTTATTTCATTGCAAGATGCAGTTTGACTTCATTGCCATATGCCATAATTGCTTATCAGTTTGATCCAGCAGTGTGACAGGTTACATGGTGAGCTGTTCTGCATGTGTACTAGAGCACTGAAAAGCAACAGGAGATAAGGACTCGTGGCAGGAGGAAGGAAGAAAAGATGCTAGGTATTATTGGAAAGCATCAGTGGTGAAACAAGGACCAAGAGGGGCTAATGTGTGCATTCCTCTTTCAGTATGACCCCAACATATGGACCAAGAAGAGAAAAACAATCATGGAGTGCAAAGTAATGTGCTAATATTAAGCTATGAAGCATTGCAAATTCATGAGCCCTTGAGTCACTGGCAGCATGAAATCTTTCCTACTCCTCTGTCTTGGTCACAAAAAAGGAAATAAAATTCACAATGCTTGTGAGAAATGTGTGAAGAAAAATAGGGCATTTGTGAGGGGGGGATTAGAAAGGAAGGAAAGCACCCCTACTTCCATGCTAAGAGCTGGAAGTTTGCTTAAAGAGCTTAAAGAGTGGGTATTCAGGAGGTGAAGCCTGCTTGTCCACAGTTGCTCTCTGTGTTCCCCTCCTTGTCTGCACTGGAAACTGATGTGAAAGAGGTCACTGTAGGAGGAGGCACCACTTTAGCATGGTGAGCTCCGTGGCATTCAAAATATGGAGAACTGTTTTTGTTTTTAATGCCATCAGAAGCTTTTCCAAAGTGTTCAGAAGGCGTGTGGGTTTTCTATTTTGATAGACATGAAAAGAAACAGACACAATTGTATTTGCTGCAGCCAGTTGCCAGATATTCCCTGTCAAAGATTATTACCTGGCTAAGTCAGATGGCTTGGAGTTATTTGGTCATTAGCCATCAAGTCTCATCGTGGTGTAAATGTAACTTGATTTCCTGTTTAATGCCCCAAAGTGATTTTTTGGGTTTCTTTTATTTGTAAATGTTCATGGATGTGGAAATTAGCACCCAGGTTTTTTGGCCTGCTGATGGTGGGCAGCCCTGCAGGAGGTCCAGGTGCACAATAATGCAGCAGAACAACTTGTTTGCAATCCTTCTCAGTCCAGGAGTGCTTTTCACAACACAGGTAGCTGTGCTGCCCTGATGGATGAAGGAAGGATTGTGTCAGGAAACCACGACTGCTGTCACTTGGCTTTCTCTACTGCGGAGCATGACAGAACGATGCTCAGAATCAAGGCACAGTGGCTGTGGTGCACATTCAGTTTAATTCTTCACTGATAAATAGTGGTTTTTGAGTGCTGATGGCATGCTGCACTGAACAGCCTCTTGTCCTCTTTTTCCTCAGGGCCAGACTCCGTTCGACGTGGCCGATGAGGGGCTGGTGGAGCATTTAGAAATGCTGCAGAAGAAGCAGACGGTGGTGAGTTCTTGGCAGATGGTTTTCCTCGTATCCAGTTCTGTGCACAGGTGCTCTCTGAAGCACAGGGCATCAGCAGAAGCATGAAGTGGAGGGGCAGCTATTTTTTATGTCCGTCACTCAAGGATCTCTAAACACACCATATTTTGAGTAGATAGGAATGTAGTGATTGTGTCTGATTCTCCCCTGTGACTGTACTGAGTCCTACACAGTCAGATCCAGTTTTAGACCATATAGAAGTCAGTCTAATAGACACTAACACATAATTTGTGTCTAGCCTTCCTAAATCCATCAACTATCTCCCAGGATTAATTTATATTAGGGTGAAAGGTAATTTATAGCTTTGATTTCTGAAGGGGCCTTCAAGCATAAGCGTGTCTTCACCGAATGGGCAACTCCAGCAGGAACATTGTCACTGTGCTGGTCAGTTTTTCCATGTCAGCAAACCCTTAGGTACTCACAAACTGCTTTGAGCTCTCACTGGTCCTTCTGTAAAAGCTGGTTTTATATTTAACATGCAGATGGATTTACATCAATTGTCTCTCATCACTTCACACCAGGAGAGGAATTGTCTCTATTTAGCATCCAGATTTTTAAGAAGACAACCTAGTTGCCCCCAATGCAGCCCAATGCTCTTGGTTGATTTGTCCATTTTTCCCATTCTCTCTGAGTGTAGAACACTCATCACCTCCATTTTCTTGTGAGGACAGGGAGATTACATCAAAACAGGCAGAGTAAATTATGTTGTGTGTAGAAAACTGGGTGGCTGACTGCATCCAGGTCTGCTGAGGTGCACAATTCTGTGAGCTGCTAAAGAATTGTAGTTCATCTGTGGAGTTGCTCCTTTCGTTGCTTTTGTTTGCTGGCAAAATCTGTAATGTCAAACTGCTCTTTACTTAATGGCAATTTACCCAAGTCCCCCCGTGTTTGTATCTGAGGGGTTACACTGTCACTGTACAGAAAGATTTCTGATCTCAAAACCATGTTGAACTGCTGCTTCGTGGTGCAGTGGAGATACTGGATGGATTTATTAGCAGAAAGTTGTCACTGAAATGCATCTTGATCAAAGTGAAGGCAGTCATCAGGCCAGAAAGTAGGTTTGGGTTACGTATTTTCCTATTTCACCTGGTTTGTACAATTGTATCTTTTGGGTGCTTCCAAAAAAGCCTGCCCCACATCTTTTCAAATAGAAAATAAGGACAAATATCAGAAAATATCATTTAAAGCGCTGGATTCAGAAGCAGACATAATGAGAGCATTGCTGGTAAAACCCAGTGGAGTATTTTGAGGAACTGATGATGTGGGTGGTAGAACTTGAGCTCTGATCATAGCACAGCTGCTGTCACCCGTAAATAGCATCCTAAAAATTAATCAGCTTCTCCCTAAACGAGGTGTTGATAAATACTACCAGCACTTTATTGTGGGTTCCCTCCTATGCAGATGCACCAGGATAGTGAGAGAAATGTATTCTTCAGAAGAAAAGCAACAGAAACAGCCACAAGACCTCTTTGGATGTGTGCTAACCCATTTTTAGGCTGGCTTTGCAGGAGATGGTAGCCCCCTGCTTCTCTAGATCGGCAGCTCTAGATAAAGGCCATCTCCATTTATTAAATGAATGCAGCTAGCTTTAGCAGAACTGGAAAGAAGGAAAGAATCCTTCTCCTATATTCTGAATTTCCAGAGTTCTTCCTTCTTGTGCCATTCTCAGCTCCTTGTATCGAAGAGTCACCCAGCTGGACATGGTACAGAGGAGACAGGCTTAAAGCGAGCCTCTAATTGTGGTCGTTATTCATTTCTTTCTTTTAACCCCAGCAGTCCCTGTGCTTTCAGTTTTGTTGTTTTTTGTTGCTGTCCATCAGCAGTGACACAGTGCTATCTGAGTGAACGCTGTGGTTGCTGCAGTGATTGCAGGTATTCCTGTCCAGTGCTGAATTTTGGCACTGAGGGGTTTAAGAAGGGCTCACCTACGTGGGAGATCCGCCCTGCCTGTGCTGGGCACGCTTGGATGCTTTCCCCTGACTATAAGTGCACAATGGGGACACAGGCACAGCTTTTAAACCGAATCCAGCCTGATTTCCTGGGTGTCCAACTGCACGTAGATGGACCTCCAGCACTGCGTCTGGGTGCAGAGCAGCGCCGTGAAAGTCACGCTTTGAGCCTCAGCACAGACTGCTGCAGACTCCTGCTGAGCCTCATTGCCTTGCAGCTGCAGGCTGAGGATGGGCTGTGTGTGCAGCTACGTGCTGGTGGAGCCCTGGGAGATCAGGGCATGCAGGGCTCTTGCAGATGTGCAGCTGCAGCAGGAGCTTGCTGGGCAGATCAGTGTTTTTCATTGACGAGGCTGAGGTGTCCTTGCACCGTGGATGTTGATGCTGTGCTGAGGTGTCGTGCTCAGATGTCTGTTTCTCTTTCTGCTTTCTGCTTGGACTTTCGGACAGCTGCGAAGTGAGAAGGAGACGAGGAATAAGCTGATTGAAGCTGACATGAATGGCAAACCTCAAAGTGGAGTCTTCATGAAGTACGTTGCTTTCCTCTTCTCTGAAAACAAGCTGCACGGTGCAGCAGGGCAGCATCTGTAAACTGTCAGCTGCTTTTAAAAGGTCTGCTGCTGTTTGTGCCTATTTCTTGATTCCTTTCAAATTCAGCCTCATTTAAATGTAGCATCAGATGGTTCTTACTGTACCCAGTGAAAGCCAGGACAAGGAGTTGGGCTGCTGTTTGGTCCCCAAGCTTCTCTTCCTGATGATCACTTTGACCTTTGGGCTGAGAGCTGCTTTGCAGCTGCAGAGCCTTACAGCCTTGCTGGTGGATTGCTTTCTTAGGAAAAGACAGGAGACCACATTTCTTCACTCTGAGAAATGCCCACAAAGTTAGGAAATGAGAGACTGGCTTTGGAATCCGTGGGAAATGGGCAGTGCTGGAAGGGCTGGGATGCAGAGCATACAGACTGATTTTTGTCAGTTTGATCTTCTGTGTATACAAATCATGTCTGCGTGTTTCTGAGAAGCAGAGCTCAGAAAGAACTCGCTTGGTAATCCTTAAAATTCCTGGTTCTTCCAGCAAAGAGAAAATTCTCTATGAGGAAGATAGGCTGAAGACCACAGATATGGAGGAGGAGAACAAAGACTCGAGCAGTTCTAGCTCTGAAGAAGAGGAAGAAGCTGAAGAAGATGAAGTTTCAGAATCAGATGCTGAAAAGGAATCAGGTAAGATGCAGAGCAGTTTGAGGTTTCATAGTTAGCTGGGCAGTGATAGGAATTGAATTGGAGAACTGCATTATTTTTTTTTTTTTGCTTTGTTGTTAAAGACATCCTGCAATCTCACTTCAAGTCTGTATGCATAGAGGAATACAGCCAGTGTACTAAAAAAGCCAACTTTCAGGTCAGCATATTATTTCAGAAAGCAAACCATGCGTGGTGTTTTAATTTCTACTTCCATCTCACTTGGAATAAGGAGCACAAGGCATGCTCTCAAACTGCAGGATGTTTTTTCCTCGTGGGCCATTTTTGGGATGAGCACTTCAGGTGCTGCAAGATGGTAGAAGACAACTGAACGAGAGTTTTATTCACTGCTCATGCTTCATTTGCTGGTGCTGTTTGGATGCTTACACCTATATTTGTTTCTTCAAAACAATGACTGTGAGAGGCACTCGTTGCTGGAGAGGAAAGTATTGCATTGTTGGTGTAGGGAGGGCATTTCCCAGGCGTGTTGAATGTGGCTGTGTTGGGTGAGTGGGCTGACCTGGAGGCAGACCTTGCTGAGAAGATTTTCTTACCATGGGATGAAGTTCTAAAGGTTTGCTTGGCAAAACACATCCATCTGGTGACTGTGGAAGTAACTGTTCAGTGAGTGGAAAGCCTCCCTGAAGTAAAGCTTGTTTAGGCTTGGCATCATCTTTGTGATCTAAGGCACGCCTGGGGCACGCGGCTCTGAACCTGAGTGCTTGTAAAGAAGGGCCTTGAAAAACGTGATACTGAAACATTTGTGTTTTTTTAAACCTGTAGAAAGGAAGGAAGAGTCCTTTGCCAACGACTCCAGCCACGAAACCAGGCCCAGCGTCACTGAGCAAATACCACCACCAGAGTCCAACTCCTTCACTGCCTCTGCCAGAAGGGTAAGAGAATTTGGATCAGCAGGGACTGGAACAGAGCTTGGAAGCAGTAGGGTTAGCTAGGAAATAGGATTCTGCATACTGTTGGGCTTTCCTGAATGGCCTCTGAGAGTCAGCTTCCATTTTGGCAAAGCTGCTGCATTAGCGGCAGTAGAAGTCCAGCACAGAGGAGGAGATTTGTATGATACAGTGCCTCTCCTAGATTCTTACTTTCTGAAACAAATCCTGGTGTTCACAAGGAAACTTTACTTGCTGCTGTCAGTTCTGAGGCAGCTGATGCTGACCTCTTACCAGCAGCTCTTTCTCCAAAGGGTTTTGCTGAGGTATCAGCACTGAATTTGGCATCCTAGTCTGAAGCGTCACTTGCCAAACCTGTTCATGCAGTGACACAACGTTACAGCCCAGTAAGCAGAGAAGATAAAGTTTGCCTCTGACTAGATAGCCAGGTGTGAAGGCTTTGCAAATGTGAACCAGTTACTGAAATCTTATCTGGATTCTCCAGCTCATGCATCACTCAGCCAGATGGCACTGGGAGGCTCTGTGTTTTGCCTAGGATGGGTATCTTATGCTCCTGGTTTCTTTTTGCACCAGAATATGGAGGGCAGCAGGCACTGTTGCAAGGATGAAGTACCAGTTGTATGCCAGAGGGAAAATGATTCTTAGCAGTCATCTTTTTAACTTTTTGCCTCTTACCAAAATCCAACTTCTTGTTCAAGTCAAGCTATTGCTCCTCTGTCCATTGCTCAGCTCAAGCTGAAGCTCCTTTATGGGAGAAATAATGAATAGTGGATTCTGATTCACCCCTCTGTGTACCCTTTAAGTTTCTGTCAGTCCCATCTCAGCCTGTAGGCTCTATATTGAATCATTCCTCGCACAAAAGCTCTCTTGCTCTACCTGTTGCCTTTGAATCTCTTCCCCTTCTTCTATACTGCTTTTAAGCTGTGGAGTCCAAAGTTGTGCCCGTTATCAAACATGCAGTCTGGGTGCAGCCCAGCATAAAGCGAGGCCCGCTGAAGCTTTTCTCAGAGCGGAAATCCAGCCTTGCAGTGCTCTCACCTCCTGCTGCTCTTGTCCCCGCTGCAGTTCAGTTGGCTCAGCAGGTCGGATGAGCAGAAGGATGAGTCGCCCTCCTCGTGGCGGTTGGGTCTGCGGAAGACTGGCAGCCACAACACCCTGAGCGAAGTCGCTGCCCCCCGTGAGGCACCGAGGGAGAAGGCAGCTTCCATCTATCGATCCTCGTCCACCCCTCGGATCTCTGCGTTACTGGACAGCAAAGACAAGGTTTGGCTCGTCTTTCGCAAGGATTTTGTGGCGTATCCCAGTTGAGATGTTTACCTTGCAGTTTCAAGACAGTTTCCCTTTCATTTTCACTTATTGCTGGGTTTGTATCTATAACAGAATCACAGGATGGCCCAGGTTGGAAGGGACCTCGAGGATCACGAATCTCCGACCCCTGCCACAGGCAGGGCCATCAGCCTCCCCATTTCATAGCAGTCCAGGCTGCCCAGGGCCCCATCCATCCTGGCCTTGAACACCTCCAGGGATGGACGGGGCATCACAGCCTCTCTGGGCAGCTGTTCCAGCACCTCACTGTTCTCACAGTAAAGAATTTCCCCCAACATCCAGCATAAATCTTCCCTCCCTCAACTTAAAACCGTTTCCCCTGGTCCTGCTGTTGTCTCCCCTTTCAAAGAGTTGAACAGGTTTGGGTGTCTCTGGTTCTTTTTATTGTATACTCACCCGTGCACCTTTTTCTACTGATTGCAATCCTGACACAGCTGTCCTCTGTGCCCCTCTGACCTGTTTCCTGCTCAGTTTCAGTTGGGCTGCCAATCTGGCACAGCCCATTCTTCACCAGAAAATATCAAATCCGGACAGTAGCACATATCTGCAATGGAAATTCTCCTTCCTCATCACCTGAGTAGATTCCCTCTCTATCCACCAGCTGTATTTGTGAATCTCGTTCTGTGTATTCACTAGCTGTAACTGCTGCCCATTTTAAAATAGTTCTAATTGGAAGCTGCTTACATTTGCTAACATGTTCAGGAAATCATGTTTAAGGTGGATATTTTTATGCTGTCACATTTCTTGCCCAAGAAAAAGCCTCAAACAAGTTATCCTTAGACAGGAAAATACTTCTGTGATTGAATGAACCTGACAGTGAATTTATCTGTCACTGAATGTGCTGCAGGTATCTCAGACTTACAGCCAAATTACTTTTCTTTATCAGGATAAAGAGAACAAGAGCTATCTGGCCACAATAGCCCCCAGAAGGCTGAGCAGTGCAAGTGACATAGAGGAGAAAGAAAACAGGTGAGACTGAATGTCTGTCGGCTCAGCTTGAATCCTGCAGGCAGTTCCTTGGAATGTCTTTTTCCTGTGTTAATGCATCGTATCTTTTCTGGCAGTCCTGTCTGCACAGGTATTTACAATCAGTTGCCTTTCATTTAGACAAGCAGGCAACATACAATAATGTTGCTTATCATTTAGGCAAGCAGGACAAGTGATTGTTTTCCCCAGCCCTGTATCACTATTTATCTATATCTATGTACTGTCTCCATCTGGGAAACTAGGTAAATGCTTACTTTTTCGTTCATCATTTTGTATGGAAGTGCCTGACTTTGCAGCTCTCACATCTGCACTTGTGTCACTGGCTCTCTAGTTCCCTTCAGTTCCTTTTATTCAGGTCTCTGTCACTTTTTGATTCGCTGAGTTTGTGAACTCTCTCGTGCAGAGCTGCATACAGCAGGGGCTGCTTTTGGAGGGTTGTTTGTAGTTGCCTCTGGGCAGAACCACAGTGTAAATGGGATGAATACCCAGTATCCCGAGGTGTACTGTAGAGATAAGCCATTCACACCAGTTACTCGTGGCGTGGAGGAGAATTTCAGCTGGCCTCACGTTCAGCCAGTTGCACAGCAGTGGTGAGCAGGCACACAGAGCAGTTCTGTGATCTGCACTTATGGGGGTGTCCCAGGATGTGACACCAGGAGAGCTTCAGCACAGACTGACATTCTTTGCTGATCTTTTGCTGGAACCTCCCTGCTGTGTTCTTGCTTAATCTCAGCTGGCGCTGGGATTTGGGCTGTGGCAGACAAATGACTGATAAGCTTGAGTGGTTTTGGCAGTGGCTTGGATTGAGTGGCATCTCCAGCTGAGTGCTGGTAAGTGTCCTTCGCTCTGTAAAGCAGAGAGCAAGGAGGGCTGTGCTGCACAAACAGATGGTGCCCAGATGCTCCGTGCAGGACAGGTTTTGTTCTGATATTCCTTCATTTCAAAGCAGCTGAATATCGCTTCTTAGAAGCACGGATGTCTGAAAGGGCATTTGGAAAGGCACTGCGACTGAAAAATGGTCATCAACCGTGGGCTGAAGGTCCTGTCCAAAACTAGAGCAGGACAGGACATTGTGCTGGAGAGTGGTTTGGGAAAGGCAGCCCCAGTTTCAGATAAATAGATAAGTGTGGCTGCTGATAACGTAATGCATAAACTGACAAGTGATTTTAGATATTGCCAAATCTTCTGTCTGTTTTGTACTGCTAAATATAGCAGAGGATTTGTCATACTGTGTGGCTTTTACTTCTATCATTGCACGATAGAGAATTAATGGTTTGATTGTAGATATTCTCCTTGTACCTGTTCCACTTGTGCCGTGCTGCTCGACACGAGGTGACGTTGTTTAATGTGTTCCATGACATTTGTGGCCAATCTGAACCTCAGTCGCAAGTCTTGGGACTGGAAAAGGATATTCATGCAAAATATCACATCCTATTCTTAAATAAAACAGCTAATAATCACAGCAACTGGCAGTGGAAGCGTTTCAGAGAGCAGCGATGTCTGTAGGTGGGTGTGAGGGGGGGGTTGGGGCTGGGGGCTGCGGGGGAGCTGGAAGCAGAGTCTGGGAGGTTTCCTAAACAAACCCTGTGCTCTCTGCTGCCTTAGAGAATCAGCTGCTAACATCGTGCGGAGCGGCTCCTACAGCCGGCAGCCGTGGAGGGATGAATCAAAGGGAAATGAAGCTCCCCATTCTGGGGCACCTCCTACCTACGTATCGACGTACTTGAAAAGGTATGCCCAGCTCTCTGCCTGTGCTGTCAGCAGTCGGTTCTGCCCTTAGCGTGCCTCCCTCTGCTCGCTGCAGCAGGCCTTGAGCAGAAAACACAAATCAAGGCTCGTCAGCGTCTGTCGTGCTGAATAACCTCCTTAGAGACCATCGCTTTTGTTGCTTATAAATGGCTGGACTGAACTTAGATACTTTTCTTTGTACAATTCAAACGCAAGATGTTTTGTGTTGATGTTGTGGTTCGATAGCAAAAGGGAAATTGGTCATAAAAAGAGAATAAAGCAATTACAGTCTGACCTCAGCATTCACATAGCTGTTAAGGTAAGTTGTAGCGTAGTGCTAGTTTTGGTTTGCATTAGAACGTGTTTATGGCAGTAATGCTATCGGGACAATGGCAGTGCTCTTATGGGTGGTTTAGGGCAGCAGACTGGTGTCTGCAACCTTTTCCTTGTGGCAGTAAGGATGCAGTTTGCACAGTGTATGCGAAATTGTAGAGCAGCTTCCAATTGCTGGTAGCCCAGCAGGGTCAGAAAAGCATCCCGTCTGTGACTTCATAACTTCAGTGTCTTTGACCCCTCTGGGAGGCGGAGGCTCGGTGTTCCCGGAGCAGCAGGTAGCGGCCTCTGAATGAGGTGAATGAATGGCCTCCTGTGATGGGGCAGATCATTCATTTCTGAGCTTTTGTCCACCTTGAGAAAAGGAAGATCAGCCCTTTGTGCAAGTACTGCTCCATCGCATCACCTTTCTTGTAGCTGCAGCTGGAAACCAGCATCTCAGCACGTGTAAATGTGTTGTGCTGCAATGCCATTTGTGCTTCAGGAGAAGAGCAGAAATGTTTCAGGATTTTAGATGATGTTCCACAAAATTCTAGACTCCGAGCTAAATAGCTGTGCTGGAGATGGAGCAGCTGCTCGAGGTTTGGGAAGAGGTGCACTTCTGTGTCCTGGTGCTTCTGCTGGTTGAGGTAAGTCCTGCTCTGGAGCGGCCTGTCCAATTGCTGAGAGCACAGAGACCCATTTCCACAAAAGGTGAAACAGCCACTTCAGGCAGCAGACTTTTCCTGATCTGCTGATCCATTCCAGTGACTTCACATCTATCCTGGGACATGATGACAGGTCAGCCTCTGTAGCGTGGCTCTCTGAAGGCACTCCAACCAGCAGCAGCTGATTGCATTGGAAAACTTTGGCCTCCTGCAGCTGGCATGCCTGCTGTTCCCTGGTCTGAGGCAGCCCATAACGTCACTGAAGTGACTGTGCTGAAACTTCACAAGCGTTGCCTGTTTGTCTCACCTGATCAGAATCAGATTTAGTGCCACGTTCACACAGTTGCATTATTTAGTTGTATTTCCTTGGTCAGACTGCGCAGGGATCAGCAAAGGCTTTGGCTGGCAGTGATGTTTTGCTAATAAAGACGTCTTTTCACGTAGGCTGAGTTCTGCCCTTCTGTAGGAGGGTGCTGGAATCTGAGCAGTTACAGGGAATAGCTTTGCCAACTCGGGAATGAGGCGCAGGGGCGCCCGCACTGCTTTACAGGCATCAGCAGTTCAGTGTGACTTCACAAGCAGTGAAACTGGGGTGCGTTTGCTCTCTGTCCCCTGATGGTTTTCTGTAGAGGAGCACAGAGCAATGAAATAATCGTGCCGATTTCTCCTCCCTTCTACATCACCTCTCAGATGAGAAGCAGAGCGGGTTGCCTGTTGTAGGCTCTTTGTCAGCAGAGTGTTGTTAGTATTTGGAAAACAATTCTGGAGGATAAAAGCTCATTTTGAAGGAGAGTTAAAGTGAACGTGACATACCTGCATGTTGCTGACAGGATGACTGCTTTCCCCTTTACCTTAGTGTTTAACTAATCCCCCTAACGAGACCCAGTTATGTTCTGAGTGCTTTGTGTGACCCCCAAACAAAGGGTAAACGCCACCAACAGATCACATTCAGGTGTTGAAAATGGTTTTTCTGCTCCGAGGGAATAAAAGAGCTTGCAGTAATTTTACAAATGCTCTTCAGCTTCAGTGGAAGCAAATGTTAAACCTCTTTCTCTAATGGTAGGGGCTGTCACTCCTTTCTCTGGGTGCAGCACTAAGGAGCAGAGCACAGACCCGTTTTCTGACAGCCCTGTTCTCGTGCATGTTGACCTTTGAGCAGCCAGTTCTCATCAGTTAAAGTGTTGGGAGGAAAACTAACGTTGCAGATTGAATTAATTCAGCATCCTTCCTTTGGCATCAGCTGCAAGAGATGCTTCACACCAAAATGAAACCACTTTTGCAGTTATTTTCTTCATTTTAGATACTTGCAGGCACTCTTTATTGTTTTTGCTGGCATAAAAGCCATCACAGCAAGTCAGGCCTGCAGTCCCAGCTCCCATCACCAACTGGTTTTGGAGATCCAGTTGCTGAAGCTAGAATGGCTTCAGAGCAGCCTCCTCCCCTGCCTTGGCTTTCAGCAATCCTTAATTAATGAGTGGGGGTCATAGTTAGGTCATCTGTTAGAGACTGAACAGCAGTGTGTCAGTGCCTTTATTTCTGTTGTTGGGTTCTTGAGCATAAATTCCTAATCCTCCTTTTTGATGAACATAACTGTTAATAAGTAGATTTTCCAGCTAAACTCTGTGTTGCAATTTTCTGGTCCTGTTTGCTCGAACTGTGACCAATTGAGTCAGTGCTTGAGCTGTGTGATGCCACCCCTGCAAGGTGATGGGGAGGGGAGGTGGCTTCCTGCAGAGCTGGCAGTGCTTCAGATCCATCAGCAGCTCGAGTGATGCCCAGCACCAGCTTCCCCTCGGACCTGAGCCATGTGCATGTATGTTCCCCCTTCCCCTCTCCGTTCGCTCACATCTCTGCTCCCCGGGCACCTGGTCTCCTTCCATCCTGTTGTCTCCCGTTTCCAGCCACTGCCTTTTCCCTTCTGAAGCACTTACCAGGTCTTATTCCATAACCCTCCCCTTTCCTCCCTTCCCAACCAGGTTTCTCATCTGCCCTCTGCACCGCAGCCTCTCTGCCTTGTGTTCTCCTAGGATGGTGCCCCACCAGCCCTGCTTCCCCAGGACCACCACCAGCATTTTCCAGGCTCCTCCTCTCACTCCTTCCCCTGGCGCTTGTTCCACTGCAGTCATCCTCTCAGTACAGCAGGCCCTGATTTCTCCCCCTCATCTCTGCGACGTCACGGCTGCTCTCTCCGCACGCCCACGGCAGCCAGGTTTAGCTCCCTGCTCTCACTCTCCTTTCAGGCTTTTCCTTTTCCTTTGGTGCAGAGCCCAGAACGGGAGGCAGTTCCTTCCCAAACCACTTCCTGCTCCCCTGTGCTCAGGGCTTGCCAGAGGAAGCTTTGTTTGCGGTCCAGTGGAGGTTGCTACCTGGTGACAATAACTTGCTTGTTCCTTTGTGACCTGGATATGGCAGGCAGCCATCAACCAAAGAGCCCAAATGTAATGCTGCTCCCCATGGAGGCCTTCCAGGATGCTCCAGTCTCTCTTTGGCTGTGTAGGGACCGGCTGCTTGGCTGGGCTGGCCGGCTGCCTTGGCGTATAAAACTAATTTGCAAATCGAGTGCCTACGTGAATTGGACTGAATCCTTCCTCCGACCTCCTGTCCTTGGCTGTTGTTCTGTCCCTTGCAAGTTTTATTTCGGCCTCGGGCTGCTCTCTCTGACTCTTGCTGTAGTGCTGACTTCCAGTTCCAGCCCATTTACCCTGCCTTTCCCATGCACCTGCAATTCTTCGTCCTGGCTTTTCCTCTCGATCAGCTTTTCCTCCTGGTGCATTTTATGTCAACCGCTTTTCTTCCATGCGTTCCTGCGTGGGAGTCATTAGGATGCAGGCGGTGAGACGAAGCCTTGCCAGCCTTTGATTCATCCTGCAGACAGCCCAGTCTGACCAGGAGCAGCCAGGAATACCAGTTGCTGGGTGTGTCAGGATCCCAGATCACGAATGCGTGCTTGTTTCTCTGTGCCATCAACAAGCAGCCTGGATATGGGGCTGAGCTGCATGTGACACAGATTTTTGCCATGTTTCATCATCTGTTCTTAGAGGTGTACAGCTAATCAAAGCAGAAGGGTGTATCCTCATATTGAAAGCCCTTCAAAGTAGGAGCACTTACAGCTTTTCTGTAGAAATGGTTTTGAGAGTTTTGCATTAAAATGGCCAAATACGCATTTCCTTTGCTCGTTCTTGAGTACTTTAGGACAATTTTGGTAGTGATTGTTCCAGATACAGAGCTTGTGCCATGTGTGCCCCATTGGAGCCAGAACTGATATCTTTAAGCCACTGCAAACAGGTTCTTAAACCTGGAAGTCCCAGGCATCGCTGGGAGGCAGTGCAGCCCGGCCCGCTGCTGTCCCTCGCTCCTTCCCTGCTCCCAGCAAAATGATCCTTGCTCATCATCCCCACCATTCCCCATACACAGCATCGCTCTGCGTGCAGCTTCTGCCACGGCAGGACTTCTCCCTTCCCCGATCTTCCCTGATCCACTGTTATTCTCTCTATGGAACTCAGCTGGACTGATCTGAAAGGTGATCTGCAGCATCTCTGGTGTGCCATAATCTCCTTTGCTCAGGAGTAATACTTTGCTAAGATGTAATACTCCCTTTTCAGCTGCGAGCTCAGCTGTGGGGATGTTCTGTTGAATGTTTACTGTGCTCTGAAGGACCTGATTTTGTGATGTTTTACAGTGCTTCATTTGGTAGAAGTAGTGACCTCAGCAGTCCCTACATTTCAGCCAGTCGCAATACATCTCTAGCTACCTCACCCACTGCCATTGGTTCATCTACCTCACTGAGCACCCCGTGGCAACCTGCCTCTGCCTGCCCCACACCTCTCGGTGCGAACACTCCTGCATCCACCTGCCAGCACACCAGGTAACAGCTGAGATAACGCTGCACAAAGTCAGCGCTTGGGTTGGAAGTTCTCAGTTCTGGATTATGGATTGGAAATGTGCTTCCGTACGGGAACTGCTGATAAGAGATCGCAGCGTGGTCGCCATGCAGTTTCAGTGGCGTGTTTGCACCAGGATGCAGTTAGCAGCCCACGAGTGAGCTCAGCTTCACGCTCCTCCTGCCCTGCTGCGATGACACGGCGCTGCTCGGGCTGCTCTCCAGCATTCAGCATACGAGCTCTGGAGTTCGTTCCTTCTGCCTGTTCACCAGTTACGTTTGTAATAATTTTTGCTGCAGACGGGGATGTGGTCATTAACTCTGAATTCTTCCTGCTTATTCTTCTACACGTTTTTATAAACCGGTCTGAATGTGTGCAGTTCCCTCTGCTACCACCAACCCGGAGCAGGGAGGATGAACTGCCGGTGCTCCCTCGAAGCCGTGGTCTCGGTTAGCAGTTGAGTTGACTTGCTTTGCTTTCCGTTATGTCTTCTCTATTTCAGAGCCCCTTTCAGGCAACAAACTGATTCTGCCGTAGAGAGAAATACAGAGGGCCTCTCTGCTAGCACCCCCCTAGGTGTAATCACAAACCGTGCTGCACGCGGCTCTGCTTACGGTACTGCGAGTGCCGGTGCTGCCTCAACCACAGGAAAGGACTGCTCTGCTGAGGAAGCCAGGGAGCGCAGAAGGTCAGTGGGCAGTGCTGGGGCGTTTGGTTCCTGCTCTGTGGTCGCAGCTGGCGTGGCGGTGCTGGTGGGGGTGGCAGAGCTGTTCCTCAGGTGCTGCCGGCGCTGCTCTGTCTTCAACGGCCACTTCAGAACCTGAAGGTTGCATTTATTTGGGGCTTTGCCTGCTCGTCCTTTCAGTGTGTCTCAGCCTTTTTCTTCACTAGTCATCTCTGCTACGGTCTGAGACCTCTGTGTGCAGGAACGGGCAGCGCTCTGTGGGTTCTGTAAAGTGAGTCCCCTCCTAAAAAGAGCATTGCACTGAGATACGTTCAGACCAAGTGCATCCCTGTGCTAAGACCAGTGGGGATGTCCTTGCATTGCTGTTAGTGGGGGAAAGCAAACGCTGCTGGAGTGTGAGATGTGTGATGCAGTGGAACAGGCTGCACTCCAGCAGCATCTGCTGCCTTCTGTTGGCTGTGAAAGAAGACTCAGCATGGAGGCTGAAGTCTGCCCTGTGCAGCCAAAGCTGTTCCAGCAGTAGCAGCACTTTGTATGGGTCTGAATGTATGATGTTACCTTAAGACTGAGGAAGTATAAGCCTGGATCAGTTGATGCTCTTTCCAAAGGAAATTTACCATGTGCATTTAAGTACAGAGTATCAAGTGATCCTGTTTATTCCTGCGAGCAGGTGAACTTTTGCAGGCTGTCCCTGCAGTCAGCCGTGGGACCCTCCAGCACACAGAGGTGTGCTTGCTGTGGGCTTCTCCCTGCTTCAGATGCAGCAGATCCCAAGAAAGAAGGCTGCTCTGTGCTGTTGGAAAATACTCAGATTCGTAAGCCTGTCCAGGCCCTTTTTTCTTCCAGAGCTAACCCAGGTAGTGCTTGGAAGGCACTGCAGGCTGAGCCGAGTTCATCAGCTCTGTATGCAGGGAAATAATTGGATGTAGCTACTGCAGCTTATCATTTTGGGTCTGTGAGGACGCTGAACATTCACTGCTTGGAGTGCCTCTGCTGCTCCGGGCGTTTTGCTGGCGGTCAGTTGACTCGGTGTCATTTGCAATTGAATTGAGATGAGCTGCCAAAGGATACTTTTAGTGCAGAGAGACCTCGGGAGAGCACGGAGCGAGGATTGTGCTCTCTGTTCGCTCTTCAGACCTTCTCATGGCAGTATCTCTATTTTGGCAAACTCAGAATAACGCTGTAGAGGCTTTGGATTCTTCCCAGGAGGAATGGTCTCTGCAAACCCCCCGACTTCTGGCACCGCCTGCAGACACAGAACCTGACTGACAGTACTTGTAAATGCCAAACAGAGCATCTATTAATATTACTGCATCGGCATTTATTGCCACATCAGTTCCTATAAATAATACAGGAGATCTGTTTGTCTCCTGTGTTCTTCCTATTAGTGATCCATCTCTTATGAGTTATGCTAATGCAGAGGTAAAAGCCAAAAAATTCCTCCCACCTTCAAGAGAAGCTTTGAAATTACTGAGCAAAAAATGCAGCAGTGATGCATTGTGCTTAAGGGCAGAGGAAACCTCGTGTGTGTGTCTCTTCTAAGAGCAGGATCTGCTGTTGGGCCGACTGCCTGCGTGCACAGAGCTAGGAAATGTGCTCTTAGAGAGGCAGGAGAGGTCACCTACATGGGGAAGGCTGATTTTGGAAGGAGGCCGAGTTCAGTAAAAGCAAATAAAAAAGGAAAATGGCAAGCAGTTGTCAGGGAAGCACTGTATGGATTTCAGTTCCCAGCTGTTGCAGTAGCATTTGGTCCGCTTCAGTGTTTCCAAAGCTCCAGCTTTCTCTTAGCAACAAAAACATAAACAAGCTTATCATCTAATATTAGATCACAGGGATGTCTTAGAACTTGGAGCCTTAAATTATCCGTGTGGGGCCAAAGGTTAAAGCAGAAGACTGTGAGGTTTGGGGAGGAATGAACAGCAGAACTCTCCTGCTGCTGTTTGGGATCCTCTGCCCGCCGGCAGGTTGGCCCTGGCCCACCGTAGCATTTCCTCTGGGGTGTCCCTCCTCCATCTCCTTCCTGGCTCCCTGCTTTGGTCAGGTAGCAGAAAATCACATGAGTCAAAAAAGAAGTTGGGGAGAAGAAAGGAAAAACCAGCAAAGAAGAAAACAGGAGGCAGCAGAGGAGCGATGCTGTGCCTGGCTGAGCGCAGCCCTGCCGGAGCTGGGGGTGCAGCAGCGCAGCCACGCTGCATGCAGGGCTCACAGACCCAGCAGCCCCCCGTGCTGCAGCACTGCATCGTGCTGCGGGCAGCTCGGAAGGTCGCCATCCTCCCCAGCAAATCGTTGTGCACTCGGTCGCTTTCTTCTCTCTTGTGGGTGCTTTGCAGCCAGTGCTGAGCGATGCTGCCGAGCCGTTTTGCTGATCTCTTGCCGGGGCAGAGCAGTCTCACCTTCCAAAAGCGTTTGTCCAGCTGAGCGCTGAGCAGCCCCGGCTCTGGGGCCGGACACCTTTCTGGCTTCTACACGCTGCCGGGGCTCTGGGTGCTGCTGCCCGCTCTGTCCTTTACGCAAGAGCGGCCTCTAGTGCTGGCAGCCCCTCTGCAGAGAGCGCTGTGATCTCATCCTTGCTGGGGCCGCGACCTGGAATGCAGCGTGTGCTGTGCGATGTGCAGCTCTGCGAGGGAGCCCTGGGGGCGCACGGCCTCACCTGAGGGCATCGCACAGCCCGGAGGATGGTAGAATCAGGAAGGCTGGAAAAGACCTGTGAGCTCAGGGAGTGCAACAGCCATCGGCCCATCGCCGCCGTGCCTGGATGTGCAGAGCAGGAGCTCTTTACCTGAGGACAGCAGAGCAGTGCCGCCTCTGTGCTCAGTTCTGTGACTGCTTTAGAAGGAAAAGCTTGAATTGAAGCCTTGTCCGTTTGGGTCAGAATTAGGAATTTAATTTGGCCTTCCTCTTTTTTCTTTTTTTTTTTCCCCCCTGCTCACACTGTTTATACAGTTGCAGTTGTGTGTGTTCTTCTTGTTGAACGTTGCATCGAGGTGGTGGTGCTCACCATCAGGAGAGCTGATGGAGATGGGAAGCGGCCTCTGCCTTATGTGCCCAGGGCAGATTTCCAGATAGATAAATGTAAGGTGAGGTGGGCTCACTTCCTGGGGGCTGAGGGCTGTGCTCAGTTTAGCATCTCGCCCTCTAAAGTTTCGCCTGGAAATGTTTTTGGAGGAAAGTTCACTGACACGCACGGTAAACGTGCCTGGCAAATATTTCTCTTTTCTGCTTTGTTCCCAAGAGGAATCCGTTCTTCATTCTAAGGATCCAGCTGCTAATTATAGTAGTGTATATTAATAATATATTAATAACTAAATCCTCCTCCACCAGCACTACTAGATGAACAGTTTTTGGCGAGTCCTTCGGCCCTTTTGCCTCGTGATTCCTGTCCAAATTCAGAACTTGACTCCTCCAGGGGTTCCCTGATACGTTAACCCTTCTTATTTCATAAAACAAAACCACAGTGAGATCCTGTCCTCTTAGAGACTTAAACCGTGGAACTTGAACCCAAGAGGTGCTTAAACATCACTGGAGAGGAACCGACGGAGAAAGCTGTGAGAGCTGCTGCCTGTGACAGCAGCGTTTGTCTCCTCATCCTCACTGAGTGCTCACGGTTCCCTGGGCAGCCTGAGTGCTGGGCATGGGGGAAGGGCAGCTCCCATCTGTGCCAGGCCGTGGAAAACGAAAAGTTAAAAGGTCCTGTGAAGAAGTGAGCGATCATGTGGCACCTGCTGCTGAGAGCCTTTATCTGCTGTGCTCCTGCAGCTAATCGCTTTCAGATAAAGTTGTCCTTTTTTTAAAGGGCTGCTGGTGCAGATGATGTGGGAGGGCAGGAATTCTTGGGGCCGCTGGGTTTTCCTTGTTGGGAAGCAGCGCGGCTGCTGCCGCTGTATCAGAAATCAGCCCGCATTTTTATTTGGAAAAAGGTCGGGGTGTGGGATGGGGGTCAGTGCTGAGCCTGCCTTCCTGCAGGGCGGGCGAGCAGGTGTGTGCTCTGCTGCCCACGGCCGGTGCTGTGCTCAGGGCGAGGAAGGGGGGGTTGTGGCACTTGAGTTGGGCGGAGGAGCTCGGGGTGGAGGTTGGCCTGCTAACTCCGAGCACCAATATATGTGGGATCCTCCAGGAATGGGGCAAGGAAATGAAGCGGGCGCTGCTTGAGCTAAGCAATGTAACAGCAGCCTGACGGCATGGAGCGAGCAGAAGGTAAAGCTGCCTTTTCTCGTCCCTTCCTACGTGCAGAATTTGTGTGCGGTTCCTCCTTCCCTACTAATCCCACCTGCTAATGTGTTTCACAGATTTAATTATTGAATCTAAGAGGAGCTCTGTTCATGGGTTCCAGCTCCATCTGCATGCCATCACCTGGACTCCGGGCTGTGGGTGTTTACTGACCAGGATTCTGACGTGTCACATTTAATACCCAAACTGGCATTAAACTGAAGAGTGAACCTGAAATGGTTGCGGTTGAGCTGAGGGTCCGGCTGGGAGTTTGTGTAGCACAAAGTCAGCTGTTCCGCCAAATCCTTTGCTCCACAGCACCGACCCGTGGATGCTGAAGGTGGAGGAGCAGGCAGAGCCGAGCAGTGACCCAGGGGCTGCTACAGAACGAGTTTTTGAGCCAACTTAATAAATCTTCTGCTCCTGAGAACAGCGGAGTCATGAAATTGAACCGGAGCCTCTGGCACACGCTAAGAAATTGCAACCTTAGCTCAGTAGGAAATGGGAATCTGTTATGCATTATTAACATTCGGTGATGTTTTCAGTAATTGAGCCGGGGCTGATTCATGCCTGCGTGCATCCCTTGAACCTCTGCAGCAGCAGCTCAGCGCCTCCTTCCACGGGGTGGCAGCCGAAGGCCGTGCAGCGCTGCCAGCCGGCGGAGCGCTTTGCAAAGGCTCCTGTAGCTCAGCAGCTGCGTGCTGCTCACGGCCAGCAAGTTCTGTGGGTTTGGTGGCTATGAACAGCAGTTTGGCAGATACTAAGGTTTGTGTTGAGTGCATTTTATTCAAGAACGT